CCCCGTCTGGCTCCTCCTCCCTCAGCCCTGACCCCAGCCCCCCACCTGACTACTGCCCCCCTTCCCCGCATGTCACTCCTCCTATTTAGGCTCCGTCTGGTTGTCCTGTGGGCCCTGAGCTCCCAGAAAACAGCCACCCCCACCTCAGCACCCCCTCACCTGCTGCCCCTCGGGGCCCACACACAGTAGGGGGCGCAGGGCTGAGGGGTTCAGCACTGGCAAGGGGGCCGCAGAAGGCGGGGCCAGCAGGTGCTTGTAGGGGCCGGCAGCGTCCATCCCGGCTGAGGGCTCCCTGGACAGCCCCTTGGCCTCTTCCCCCGTCAGCTTCAGCCCCAGGAGGACCTGGAAGCAGAGGGCCGGTGCTTGGAGAGGCCACGGTGGCCTGTGCCTCACCACCCAGGGAGTCAGCGATCACTGGGACCCGGGAAAGCCCCGGGGGCTGGCGTGGGAACCCCACATGGGGTTGGAAAGGTTTGGGTGAAGCTCCTGGCTCTGTGTCCTCAGCAAGGTACTTGACCCTTTTGCCATCTACAGACGGGGTTCCCGTGGCCCTCACGGGCTGTCAGGGAGGACTCCGGATCTACCTGGACGTGTGTTGTATCATTCCTGTCTCTGCTGCAACAAAACGCTTAAAACATTTTTAGAGAATGTTATTAGTAGCCAAAGTGCATCCCCTGAGCCGGGTGACAGAGCCAAGGCCCCACATGGAGCCATTTCCCAGTGTTAGAAGCCAAGCTGATGAGGCCAGGCCGGGGGTGGGGAGTCCCGGTTCCAAGCCTGGGGCCCCACCCATGGGAGTGGCTGGGGAGCGGGGGTGGGGGGGTGGGGGGGCCTGCGGTGGGCCTGGGCCTGGGCCCGGGCGTACCTGGGTCTCCGCGGGCGGCTCCTGGGGCTGGGGCTCCTCGGCCTGGGGAGGGTCCCGCTGGCCTCCTCCCCGGAGACAACTGTAGCACCTCCAGGTCCCACTGCTCACGTGGCCCACGTGGTCACCAGCCAAAGACATGCAAGGGGGACAGAGGGGACCACAGACTCCCAGATACACAGGCAGGGGAGGCCTGAGGTCTCCTCCTCGTTGCCACTTTCCTTTCGCAGATGGGGAAACCGAGGCCCAGGCTGGACAGTGGGCAGAGCCAGGATGGGAGGACTGCCCCGGCCAGTGAGCAGGAGGGCCCGGGAGGCTGGGAGGCTGAGCCCCGGGGGTGGGAGGGGGGGTGGGCCTTGCCAGGATGGTCAATGTTCCCTCTGCTGAGCCCCAAGAATCCGGACATCTGTTGACCTGCAGAGCCCCGTGCGTGGCTCTCGCTGGCTTTGCCCTCCCGACGGGACCTCTCTGAACTGGGGACCCACCCCCGTTTCCGCAAGGAGGACAGTGCCCAGCAGAAGGGGACACGGTCAAAAGCAGGAAAAAAGAGAAGATGACCGCCCCACCCCTGGAGGCGAATGATGACCTCGGCTGAACGCCCTCATTTAGTGACAGGCATCAGAGACAAGTGGCCTGGTGAAGGCCACTCAGGGAGCAGGGGCAGGGCCAGGGCTCGAAGGTGGGTCACTTCTCCCACGCAGGCTCTTCCCCGCCAGCTGTGGTCACCCGTGGGAGCTGGCAGTAGAGGGCAGGACGCGGTGGGCGGGGGGGAAGGGAGCGCCAGGAGGTAGACGCGGGAGGACTCCGGCCCTGCCCAGGACAGGCACCCACTCTGCCCGACTTCAAGTAGGACCTTGTTTGGAGGAGGGGGGCCGGCTGCTTGTGGGACTTTGGGCTGGGGGTGTGTGGTGAGATGGGACAAGGTGGCCGCTCTTCACTGGGGGGCCTCATTCTGCTTCTCTGCCCTCTGGGGCCCTGCTGGCCAGGCTGGGAGGACCCAGCCTGGGTGACCCGAACAGAGACACTTCCAGGCAGCCCCACACCCAGGTCAGTCGGGCAGAAGTGGCCGTGAAGCCAGCTGGGGGCGGAGAGCGGCCTGCCGGGCTCACCTGGGAATCTCCCGGAGCGGCGGGGACAGGCAGGCCAGGTGGAAGGCCCGGGGGCAGCCGTCACAGCAGATGAGCTCCCCACCGTCCCGGCACACGGCACACTCATCCTCGTTCTTCTGACACGGGCAAGACACGCGTATCCTCTGGGAGATCCGGGGTGGCGCGGCGCCCTCCCCGAGAACCTCTCGCAACAGCTCCGCTGCGGCATCCCCAGGGGCCCCCAAGTCCCCTGCCTGCCCCAGCCCTCCCCCACGACACTCTCCCTCTCGGAGACCCTAGTCCCCTGCGCACACCCCCGGGCCAGGCCATCCCTCTTGGGAGGACGGAGCCTCCAGAAAGCCCCGTTTCCCGTGGGTGCCTGTGTCCCCAGCAGCGTCCACACTGCCCACCCCGCACGCCCTTCTTCACAGCGCAGTGGAGCTATGGCCGGCGGCATTGCCATCAGCCCCAAGCACCCGCCGTCCCCGCGCCTGGAGCCTGGACGCTGCCTGTGCCCCTGCCTGAATGGCACCACAGGGCCCTCCGGGATGCCTCCTCCAGGCCAGGCCGCCCTGCACAGCGATGAGCTCGCTCACTGTAATCACCCCCTGATCCTGCCAGCCGGGAGCTTGGAGGGGGGCAGGGGGACACGGGTCCTGCTCCCTCCTGGGCTCCCGGGGCCCAACAGCGCCTGGCGGGGGGCCGGAGGCGGTCAGATCTGTGGTGGTTTCTGTGCTGTGCTGGATGCTCAGGTCCCTGGCTCCCAGGAGGGGCCACCTCCCCACCCCCTGGCCTGCTGGGAGACTGTGAGACCGGGGACAAGGGCACCCAGCTCAGACCCATGGTTTTAAACACCTGGTAGGACTCACTTTCTCTGAGTTATTTGAACACAAGTTGTGTGCTATCAGGAAAACTGTTACTAAACAAGGAAGCTCGACCCTGTGAACAGAAGCTTAAGGCTCCGTCCTCATCACCCAAGGGAGAGCCCTGGACAGGGGCAAAGGGGCAGAGGGACCCCCTGTGGACGGTGGAGACGAGGGAGTTCCACTGTGGCCTGGGCATTACCTGGTGGGGCTGGGGCTCGCTGGGGAGGGCGGGAGGGGCCTGCACCCTGCCCTGTGCGCCTGCTCTCTGGTCGCCTCCACCCTGCTAGGGAGAAGGGGGCGGGTCACCGGAGTGCGGAGCGCCCTCTGGGCAGGCCCAGCCCCAGCTGAGCTCTGTGTTGGGGGGTGGCTATCAAGGGCAGGGCTTACAGGGGCGGAAGCCTGGGTCCCCTTGGCTCGGACCAGGGTCTTTGGGCCACCGCTACGGGCCTTGTTCTTCCCCGCACCGGGGTCTTCGAACTTGCTGGGAGTATAAAACTCCCCCCCAACCTGGATGCACTTCTTGGAGCCACCTGGGAGGAGGAGCCACCCTGGCTGGCCTGGGAGGCCCAGGAGGGTGGGGGGCAGAGTGGGGGGACAGAGAGGTGGGGGGGTGGAGTGGGGGGGCACTCTGCAGCTGGCTGCTCCCCACCCCCCACCGCCCAGCCCCAGGCAGCTCTGGGACCAGGGTCCTGGGCACAGCAGGGGTCCTCTGCAGGGGGCGAAGGGGGTGCTGCACCCGGCCAAGCGTGTCCACCTGGAATCTCAGAGTGTGGCCTTATTTGGAAGCAGGGTCTTTGGTGATGGGGTTAGTTAATATGGGCTCCCGAGGGACACTGAGTCCAGTGACGGGTGTCCTCAGGAAGAGTGGAGAGGACGCAGACAGATACAGGGAGGACACCCTGAGACTTGGGGGCAGCGGCCACGGCGGTGGGGCCCGTAGCAAGGACTGCTTGCGGGGAGAGGCAGGAAGGACTCTGCCCCGGGGCCTCCGGAGGGAGCACGGCCGCCCACGTCTCCACTTTGGAAACTCCTGCTGTTTTAAGGGCCCGGTGCGTGGCCACTGGTTATAACTGCCATGGTGAACTACTTCGGGGTCCCCGGGACCCTCCCTGGGGGGTGAGACCAGGGCCCGCATTGGCTCCCGGAGGCCAGCTGGCCCTGGCCGTCCGCAGCATCCCCGGCCAGCGTCCAGCAGGAGGGAGGGGAAGGGGGTGGTATGGGGGTGGGGGCAGGTGCTGGAGAACTTCCCGGAAGGGGATGAGCCCAAGACCCTGAGGGGCCCCTCCGGGTGGGCAGAGTCACCCGGGAGGTGGCCCTGGACCGCCGACCTCCCAGAAGCCCAGGAGCCCCCACCCTGAGGGACGCCCTCGGTGCCTGTCCCCCCTGCAGAGGTGGCCACCTGCGCGCCAGCTGCACGTGCACCTGGGGCCTGCGTCCCCCTGGCAGCACCCTGGCCTGGCAGTGCCGTCTACCTGACTCAAACACCTGCTGGATGAGGATGCCCTCCACTGCCCCATGGGCTCCGGGGACGTCCCCAGATGACACGGTCACGGCTCTCTGGACCGAAGTGGACGACATGGTTTGAATTCCTGGGGAAGGGAGCACAGGGCGGGGGGCGGGGGGGGGTCATCGATTGGAAAGACGGCCCCTGAGCACCCCCTCCCTGCAGGCCGTGGGGAGCGAGAGGCGCCTGGGCTGCGGAAGCCTTTCCTTCTGTCCAGGGCAGGCCTTGGAGGGGGCCCAGCCCTTCCACGGACAGACAGCCAGCCAGCCCATGTGTAAGTGCAGAAACAGGCCATGGGTGTGTGGGGGGGGGGTGAGGCTGTGTGGTGTGTGTGTGCGTGTGGAGTGTGGCATCTGAGCTGACCAAACACAGCAGGCAGGGCCGGACAGGGACCCCCAGGACATGGCCCCGGGTGGTGCTGGGAGGGAGGCCGAGTTCCCAGGGTCTGTCTTCAGGTCAGGTGACTCCGGTCTCCGGGACCCCCACCCTGGGGCAAGGAGGGGACAGAAAGGGGCCAGGCTTCATCCGGCTGAGGGACCAAGAAGGATTCTGCGGAGGAAGCACAGTCTGGGCCGGCCCTGAGGACGGAGACACTGAGACGGGCACACGTGGGGTAACCCGAGGTGCCCCTCTTTCCCCAGTGAGGCTGTGCAGCCAAGGCTGTGGGGTGACATGCCAGGCGGGCAGGGTCCCAGCTCCCAGGACAGGCCGGCAGAGGGCAGCACCCCACTGGGCCCTTGACTCGGTGACCCCAGCCCAGGAGGTCGGGAACCTGGCTCACCGTTCCCCAGCAGGGGGCGCTGCGGCTCTGCGTTGCTCTCTGGCTTCCTGGGGTGCTTGGCCTTTGCCTGGGAGCCTGCAGGGGGAGTGTGCAGGGGGAGCCACACCAGCCTGGCCCTCCACTCCCCATGGAGGTGGGGGGGGGGTGAATGCTGGCGGCCAAGGGCACATGCATGCGGGCGGGGCCTCCCAACTCCCGTGGTCCCCTTGCTTTACTGGCTCTGGTGTCCCCGTCAGTAAAAGGAAGTGACCCCCACCTGCCTACTTCTCGGGGTCCTGGGACGAGGGCCGGCTGGGCTCACCCACGAAGCACCCACAGGGATTCTCCGCAGCCCCGGCGGCTGGCCGGGGTGGTGGGGAGAGGGGGGCTCCACGGCAAGGCAGGAGGGGGACGGCCAGTGGTGTCGGGCCGTCTGTGACCGACCAGTACCTCCAACCAGATACCTGGGTTGGAGGTGCCCCTAGGAGACAGTGCCCCGGGTGGGGCGGCCCTGGGCTCCTCCAGGGCCTTCCTCTTGGAGGGAGGTCTGGGCAGCAGCACTGGGGCCTTGGGGCCCGTCGGGGGCTTTCTCCCCTTCCTCGGCTGGCTGAGGTCCACGTCTGCGGGGCGAGCAGGGACCGGGCCTCAAGACCAGAGCCGACGCCCTGGCAAGGTGCGCGAGAGCCGGCCCTTTGACGCTCAGGAGCCAGGACGGTCCTCGGTGGTGTCGGGGGGCTCCCTGGCCACCCCCCTCCCTTTTACAGTCCGGCTGGGATGACTCCAGCCGCCCCCGGCTCCCGCAGAACCCCAGTTCCTCCCACAGCAACCCCCCCGACCTTTGGGGAAACAGTCTAGGATGGGCTGCAGCCGGGCGTATCTCTCCAGATTGTAGTCCTTAAAGAGAACCCTCCAGAAGTCCAGGATGGCAGCTGCGTCTTGGGTCAGGAGCCACGAAAGGAGCGCGTGGAAGGCCTGTGGGCAGCCTTCCTTCTCCTTCAGGCGCAGGGTCTCCTGAAGCAAGAGTGGGGGCTGGGAGGCCCCACCTCCTGCCCCCCCTCCACAGCGCCCGCCTCCTGACCCCCAC